TATATATATATATATATATAGTCAGAAGTATAGTCAACATTCTATCAAACAGACATAGAGCCAAAAATAACTATGTAAATCATTAAAAGAAGACAGGTTGAACACTGTACCATCATCATAGCACATTAACTGAAAGTAAGCAACACAATTCAGCAAATGTCCCGCAAAAAACCGATCATTTTTGTTACTTTGCACACGCCATTTTTTATTTTTTGACGTTTTTAATCGGTAAACATTAAATAGCCAAATCTAAGCAATTGTATACACAGATCCTCTACTGGTTTCGATTAAGAGCCATATCCTGAATTGTTTTCAGCCATCGTCTTTTGGTCCCTAACCAGCAGGCAGACGTGTGGATCCAATGGTGGCAAGACATGAAGTCAACGATTTCATTTGCTGTCGCTAGGTGGATGGTGGACCACCACGTGGTCCCTTCCAGTTGAGTCCTGTACCAATAAACAGAGCGTGATAGGGCAGACGCTCAGCTGACATACGCAGGAGATGACCGAGCCAGAATAACTGGCGCAGCAAAACCAGCTTGTTGAAGGGAATACTCACAGTCCCTAAGACACGACGTCTGACTTCATTGTTGCAAGTGTTGTTGCCACCACACACAAGCAATCCTCTTCAAGCACCCGTTGTCGAAGGTAGAGAGCTGGCGCATATCGTCTATGCGAACTGGTCATGACTCGCTTCCATATAGCAACACCGCCTGAACAAAGACATGGTAAACACGACCCTTCACCAAGAGGGAGATATTCAGGCGACGCCACAAGTGCTGCAGGTTGACAAACGGCGATCGATCTTTGGCGATGCGAAGAGGAACTTCCCTTCTAATGGTACCGCCAGCAGACACACAGCTGCCAAGGTAGAAAAAATTATTGACTTGTTCAAGCTGTGTATCTGCAAAATTGAGCACGAGAAGAGTTGAGTGCCAATCCTGAAGCAGCACTTTACACTGCAACGGGACAAATCATATTCCATACCTAGAAGCCTCAATCACGAAACAGTCTAGAATGGTTTTCATACTCTGTGAGTCCTCACCAAGTAAGGCGATATCATCGGCATAATCTAAGTCGGTTGCGCGCTTGCCCGGTAATAGTTGTGTAACAAAATCTTGGTAACTGTTTAAACCTCTCGACAGTATGTTTTCAATCGCAAAATTGAAGAGGAACGGGGACATAGGGCAGCCTTGTCATACACCGCTATTGACAACGAAGGACGACGAAAGTCTGCCATAAAGCCCTCTGCCAGAGATGTGAAAATACAGTGCGCGTAGGATGGCAGTGTACTTTTCTGAGACATCGTTGCTTAGTAAACAACACCATAGTGCAGGTCGATCAACCGAGTCGAATGCGGCACGAATGTCCAGGAATGTAACGATGGTAGGTCTCTGGTAAAGGTGGCGGTGTTCCAGGATTCGACGGAGTGTGAAAATCAGATCAACACACCCGCGGCCAGGTCGAAAGCCAGTTTGTTCTGCCCGGTACTGCGATTCGCGAATGGGAGATTGTCTTCGGACTAGAATAGGTGCCAATAGCTTGGAGGCAATCGAAATGAGACTAATCCCGCGGAAATTCGTACACGAAGAGCTAGCACCCTAAATAAAAATCGGGACAATAACTGACTGACCCCGAGAAGAAGGCACCTTTTATTCATGCGAGATTTCGGGGCACAATGAGGTTAGCTGGCTAATGATAACTGCGCCTCCATATTTGAACAGCTCCGGAGGAAGTCCGCCTGAGCCGGCAGCCTTGAATCGTCTTAGGTGTCGAATCGCAAGACAAACTTCCGCTTCGTTGGGTGACGACCCAGGGCGGCCAGCTAGGTTCAAAGGGGATATAAGTGGACGGCGAGGGCCAACTGAACTGGGAATGAAAATGTTCGGCCCATCGGTCCAAGCGTCTCTGTAAGTTGGCAATCGGCGAACAATCCGCATCGCATATAGTCTCACTGACACCAGGCTTGTGTCGCCGGTGAATCGAATAACCTGGAAGAACTTGCGAGTATTGCCAAAGAGGGCAGCGGCATCCATTTCCGAAGCACGCTGGGATCCCCCAGGCTTCACGATTACTGCGTAAGCTTTGTTTGAGCTGTCGACTGATAGAACGGGACACTTCATCATTATTAGACTCCGCTGGGATATTCCTGCGGCGGTCAAATAAATCCAAAGAGCGCGTGGAGATCCAGGCCTTCATAGGGATCTGAGTACAACCACAGACATATTGTCCAGAAGAGATCATGGTTCGCTGCATGGATGTCCAGGGTTCATCAGCAGTTTGCGGTGAGTCGCAGCCGAGTGCACCAGCTAGGAAAGCTTGAGAACTCTGCTGAACCGAAACAGTGGATAGCTTGTTTGCGTCTATCTTACATCGCTTCAGTTTCGGGAACCATGCGAAACTCATGTAGGTGTTCGCATAGATAAGAGCATGGTTTGAGTCAAGAAAAGTGGACCAGATGGATCCGCAATCCTTTACACTACCTCTCCGTCAGAAACTGATTGCGATATGATCAATCTGAGAACATGATTGAGACGCAGAAGGGGGTCGCCAAGTAGCGGAACGTCTCCTTAAATGCCGAAATTGGTGCTCGAGAAAAAAAAGATGATTATCTTCGCACAATGTGAGAAGTTTTCATTATCTGAGCTGCTCTCCTCGAGCGCATGGTGTCCACCGAGGTGACTTTCGCATGCCAACAGACGACCGACCCATGCGTTGAGACCCCCAGCTAGGACAAAAATGTCGGATTTACAAACTCCGCCTAAGAGTTGATGAAGTTCACGGTAGAAATCCTCCTTGACGTAGTCGAAACTGCAGTCAGTTGGAGCGTAAGCTGAGATCACAAACAAGTTGCGTCTCTTCTCACGACATCGGCTTATCTTGTATGATCCCCGAAGCCGAACTGCACACAGTCAGCTAGTAATCGGGAACCAGTCCAGCAGTGATGCCTCGCCTATGCTACTTAGCGTTACACTAATGCCGGCCAAGCCTGCTGCGGCTATTTCTGCGTCACCAAACAGATGAAGGTGAAATATGGCCCCGTGGTCGGTGGGAGATCTTAACTCAATCACAGTGCTGGAAGCTTGTAAGCGCGTTCCGGAAAGATAGCAAACATCGATGGAGAGGGATTCCAAGGTGCGTGCAAGACTAGCTTGCTGCCCGATCTGCATGAGTGTAGGGGCATTGAAGCATGCCAAAGGGAACGAAGACCGAGACCGAAGTAGTGCAACTGGACGAGCTCTCTGGGTATCGACGAAACCATCCGGAGTAGAATCATGGAAACAAGAATCAGTTGGTAATGTATAATACTGATTGATAACAAATGAACAGGTGGCGTGTGAAGATGAGTGACTAGCAGGAGCAAAAGCAGCTGAAAACGATATTGCAGTTGAACAGTCCATGGTTTTGTCAGTAGGCGTGATACTACCCGGTTGCACAAGCCGAGGTAGGGAGTTGTCTTAGAATTCCACCCCGAGTCTTTGGCTAAATAGCTTGCTCGCAAGGCAGCGGGGCGACTGTCAGACTGAGTTAGTCTGACCCATAACCATTGCCCTGTCTGGTATGAGTGGCTCTGAAGGCATTTGAAAGTGCCACAGAGCGTAGCTTAATGGGCCACAGGGGTACACAAACCATCGCACCACGTTAAGGTCCAGTCTCGTTGCGATGTATATATATATATATATATATATATATATATATATATATATGCTACCCGCAAATCGAAATTGGGGACGAATTTTCACAGAGCACAGTGAGATTTGGCAACCTAAGGAGCAAAACAAAAGTTTGCGAAGTGTACTCTGTTCGACAAATCTCCTCAGGCATTTAAAATTAGAAAATGGAATGTCAGAGTAAAACGAGCTGATGAAGCACACAGTTAATACATCGGTGGGCTGCGCACCAATGTATCGAAGGTGGGTGCGGCCTTCGGTAAACTGAAACATTGCATGTGGAAGTACAATCAATTGGAAGAGTGGACGCAGTTGACGATGAACAAACAAACGGTCCTTTCAGGCACTCTGCGGCAATGAAGGGGGAGTGCTATACAAAGATATTTGACACCTGGAGCCATTCCACCAACAGTGTCTGGATAGGATACTGCGCATCCGCTGGTGCGACAGGCAGGAATTTGCAGGTCGTTGTGAACGTACGTTTTCCAGAATAACCTTGCTGAAAATATGTCAACAATGGGTTTATTTGAGTTGGAAGCAAGACAAGGGGCCCTGTGAAACTCTTGAACCGTCGAGAACTGGCTTAAAGAATCTCGGTGCAACTCATATTTTTGCTAATATGATGGTATTTCAGGAAGCTTACGAGCGCAGTTATTTTGGACGGCACTCTGTTGTTGATTCCTTAGCTTGCTCAACTGTACCTCTGTGCAATGAGAATGTGTTATTTCCTCATTATGTCATCCATCGTAGTAATGGAGTGCATAGCCAAATCCGACCTAGAGAAGGATTATGAATCAGTGATGGGAACCTTTAGGGAATAGTGAACAGAGCATACGACACTAAGTAGCAGGCATCAACAGTACGCAGTATCAACGCTTCGCTGCCGCGCAACTACCATCTGTCGCGCGTGGACTAAGCATACTGCGAGGGTCACCTGGTCGCTATGCAGGGTGGAACTTGTGCCCTTGGATTACAAGGCAGGCGTGTGAACCACAAGGCCAAGGGTTAGCAACATCAAATGTAGCGCTCGTATGAAGACCGTTGAGCAGATCTAGAGGGCTCATCCAGTAACTAGGCATTAAACCTAAAGACCATAAAGAGAAAACAAGTGTTGCATGTGTTCATCACGATGAATGCTTGCTCGTTTTCACAAGTTGCTCCGTGAATGTGTACTTATTAACTCACAAGCGCGAACCTACAGTGACTTGCTACTGATAAATTTGAGATGGATACCGCACGGCCGAACACAATGCAAACGCCAGATATGAGCCGCTTGGACCAAGAATGACATATAAGGCAAAAAGAAACGACAAGAGCCGAGTGCACATACATGAGCTGGTGTGAGACACACCGTCGGGTAGAGCTGATCCATTGAGTTGCACTTCAGTAGCGGGCGAGGTGATGAGAGGACTTTTGCGTGGCCTTTTGGAGATTTCGCGGAGTTTTCGAGGAAAGCACAATAGGAGTAGGGATCCCATGAAAACCAGACCACCTAGTGGAACGGAAATACAAGCGACACAGAGATACAATCAGTAGCGCCCTTCGATCGTCCTGGCTCAAGACAAAGTAAGTAGAAAACAATGTAGATTCCCCCGTTTGACTGTGTAAGAGATTCTAAAATTCTAGTTTTCATATGGAATAGCATCACTTACGCCGTACGTGAATTGTGAGGTGCTAATTTACTGAGACAAGTTGAGTTTATTGGGCTGAAGCACTGTTCGCCCAAGCGCGCCTGTCTGCCGCCACCCTGAGCTCGGTTTATGTTAAGAGATGCCGGTTCTAATCAGTCACGTGGGCTGCACTTGATTGCCCCACTGGCCTAGAGTGGGCTTAGTTCGCACCGTTGACCAGCCATCATAGCAGTCCGTGTCGTCAGCCAAAGTTCGTCGGTGTACCATAGACGCTCACTCACTGTTGTCAGGACCGATCCGGTCCACCTCTTGCTTGCAACCACGAAGCGATCTGTAGTGTCAGCGCTAATTTTGCGTTGTCCATCAGATAAACCTCCATATGTAATGAAAAACAAATAACGCCATCCAAATCATGTTTACGCTCGGGCGATACAAGGTAATAATCCTTATCCAAAGATTTAGATTAAAAAGGAATAAAGTATGAACCGATCATCATGAATGTGGAGGAATCAGAAGCGAAACCAGTCGTTATTACGCTAGAAGTAGACCAACGCAGTTCAGAAAGTCGTATCGATGGTAATTCATAGCAAACAAGAAGCGCGCGAATAGCTTAAGGAGGACAACTTACCCAAAATAAAGAAGCCAAGCCACCAGGCCCCGATCCAGTTAGGATTGTCGGGAGTTAGATCAGTATGGGAGAACAGTTCTGCCGGATATTGCAGCACTGATGCACCAAGGGCGAAACCTAACACGGGTCCCATGGCCGCTGCGGCGTATTGAGAAGCTAAAATGGACCGGAACAGAATGAGAATCAAGGTGGCTACAACAGAACCGGTCACGGAAGGTGTAAGTTTGTAAGACATATGATAAAGGGAAGTAAATCGAAGTAAACTAGACAGCGTACTAGCCACCTACACTGAATACTGAAAATAGTGAAGTAAAAGGTGTACATCTGCGTTGCCGCAGCTATATAATGTCGGGTATGCACACGGAACAACGTCAATCATTACCGCGCACCGGTTACAAAGTGCGGTCGTGAGACATCCTATACAGGTGCAAGGCGCTCTCGAAATCTGTAATCCGCAAAGCGAGTGTCTAGGAAATTCTTGATTTCCGACACCGATTTCGCATCGATTATTTTCTCGGGCAAACTGTTCTAGTAGTTCACCACTCCATGCTCGAAGCATAGATGGTGAGCTATCCACCTCAGGTCCAGTATTACAAGCTTGTGGCAGTGCTCGCGAGTGCTGTTCGGTGCGCACATGTGTGGCAGCGGCGGAAGTGAATATCCGGTGCATCATTATGAGGTCCACACGAAATCGACGATACGATAGGGTGTACAGCCATGGTTTCCTGCATCAGTCATCGTACTTCATGCACAGCAAACTGGGGATGAGCTTGCTAGTTGCATGCTGAACAAGCTCCAGCCTGTGCGCCTCGAAACAAGTGATCGGAAAATAGGCAGGTGAGCTGCACTCCCGTATGGTTTCACCATTAAAGAGATGAGGCGAGTGGCAAGCTCATCAGACCAATTGCAGAAGCTGTGCTGAGCGGCCAAAGATTGCGCAGTCCGTTTCCACATATCCTACTCGTGTTGTCTAAGGACTTCAAATGATAATGTGAGAGTAAACCTATGTCCTTCAGGGTAGGTGTGGGATGCAACGGTTGGCCAGCCAGTGCACAAAACACCCATCACCACACTTCCGCAGGCTAACTGATAACAATATGATTGGGCAGATCGACATATGCACACCATATGGACAGAGGATCGAAGTTATGTTGAGGCACGTCGCAGCCGCCTGGAGCATCCATTACTCTTCATATCTTCGGGTCGTGTGCTAACAAGGTGACTGAAACTAATACTTTGTTTATGTGGAGCAGGAACAAAATGAGTCTCAGTACCGCGCATTAGTATACGTCAATAATTGAAGGGTAACAGTCAGTTACAGAATCATCCAACTGGATTCTGGCGGTGACTTTCGGGCGCACCAAGTACCGACACTCTGTCAAGTGGTTGTGCTGTTTAGCTACCGATCATAGACATTAAGAAAAATGTTTAACATCCCGTACCGCAGAAATATTACATCGAATAAACAGCGTCCAGCTGGACAAGATGCAAACGGTCAATAATGGCAGTGAGCGTAGGCATGCTCTTATCATCATTGTACTGAATCGCGCGAACGTGAAATTGCCGTGCACAATCACTATGGAGGACACCAAAACACATGCAATAGCTGATTCAATAGGTTGTTCGCACAAAGAAACTGCGAACGAGAAAAGAGCGTTCGTAAAGATGAGCATCTTGAGACTGTACAAGAAACTTCCTCTCCGTGAAACCAGTGGACTTTCATTGGCAAAATTCGTAATACATCACACAAAACATTAGCCGTTTCGGTTTGGTTCCGCTAGTCATATCAATCCTAACTCAGGGACCTAAATGCTTCGGAACAAATTATAAAAGCACAGTATGATAGGGATGACCGAGAAATGAAACAAGAGCTGTGGTAAAGTGAATAAACTTAGGTGTAAGAAAAATATGTGGCTGAATCTAATGAATATCCGTTGAAAACTATAGGGCGAATGCAAAACCGATAGTAACTCGACTATGCCGAGCGAGATAATGAATGAGGAAAGACAGCAGATACAAAAATGAATTTCTCACTTGTTACCGGAAAACGATTTGCGATAGTACTGAGTTGCCTGTCACTGTGGCCAGCCACAGAAAGCCTGCGCCTACAGAGGGACCATGGATAGCTTGCGATGCACCACCCACAGCTCCAACCACACCCCATATCCAGTGTAAACCCGAAGGAATAACATCGGGAGGCATGTGGATGGGAGCCACGTTTTATCAACGGAGCCGGCCCACACTCCTTCACAGGCAAACACAAGCACGCTGTATTTCGGAATTAAGCGCATACAAGACGGTGACTGGACCGTAGTTCGCTCCACAGTGAGTGCATGGAACCACCCTTTGAGCCTAACACGACCATAAGGACCGTGCACCCCGTCCCCTCCAACAACGACCAACTATCTCCTAGAGACAGTATGGACGATGTAGTGGGTAATAGACAAGTAGGCACCTTGTCAACATGCACATCAAACGCAGCCACACCGGGGATGTCAAACAACAGCCAATCACTTGAAATGACATTACCAAATAAAATATATGTAAAAGTATACGGCTATGCAGACATAACTCTTCCTTAAATTAGCATATGAATTAGCTTGGTTAGCAACGAATCTACGATAAATACAAGATGTCCATAAGTTATTCAAAAAATGATACAAACACAATAACGTTAACGAAGATAACCACTATTAGCGTAAGCAACGTGTGCAAGTTAACAGAAGATTATTCAGGTATAGAGAACAAACCAAAGAAAGTGGAATGAAATTTACCCAGCTTAAAACGACCTAGTTTAAGTGCTGAGGCTGCTGTTGCATTCATGATGCTTCTTCATCACAGTTGCGTTAAACCAACTTACACTTAAACTAGGTCTTTTTAAGCTGAATAAATTGCATTCCACTTTCTCTGATTTGTTCTCTATACCTGAATAATTTTCTATAAACTTGCACAAGTTGCTTACGCTAATAGTGGTTATCTTCGTTAACTTTATTGTATTCGTATCATTTTTGAGTAACCTATGGACATTTTGTACTTATCGTAGATTCGTTGATAACTAACTTAATTCAGATATGTCGACCAGCTATCCGGAAAAGCACCAGACGGCCGTTTCGCCCTATTGGGGCTCACAAGTGGTGCGCATCCTTCGGTCCTCTGCGGCGGATCGAACCCATGACTGCTAGTGGCTCTTGCCAACTAGCCCGCAGCTTATGCAACTGCGACATGGAGGACGGTATCCGACCATCAAGAATTGTTAGCTAAATGCGATATAGCCCGACCCATCCTCCACTGCCATGCAGGCACCTGCCATGCGGATGACAGCGGTTGGCCTTCCGGCGTCAGGACTTCCCGGCTGATTGCGACGAACAAAAATACTCACCAAAATACTTCCACTCATAAGTAACTAACTTAATTCATACGCTAATTTATCGAATAGTTATGTCTGCATAGCTGTATACTTTAACAGATTTATTTTATTTGATAATAACATTTCAAGTGATTGGCTATTGTTTGACATCCCCGGTGTGGCTGCACTTGATGTGCATGTTGACAAGGTGCCTACCTGTCTATTACCCACTACCTCATCCATACTGGCTCTCGGAGACCATAGTGACAGGTAACTCCGGAACCGGAGGTCACCAACTATATATATATATATATATATATATATATATATATATATATATATCACAATCTGTGCACAGATATTGTGCCACCGGAACCATGGAGGAATAGGAAAACAGAATCAGAGTAGAAGGGGGAAAAATTTTTGTACATTTTCTTGCTCACCATTTTCAGATTTTGGTGGATGTTTTTATTGGTGGAGGGAAGGGGATCACCGCAACAAGCAGAGATACACGACCGCCACTAAGTTCGGTTTTGGGCCATGACTTGCAAGGTTTCCAACCAGCGACACCCAGAAGCTTTGAGATACCATCCAGGAAGTCGAGAAGAATCAACCGAGGTCAGTTGTTTTGTCAGCTTTTATTCCTGCTTCTCCAAGTTGTAGGCTGTCCATCACACCGCCTCCTCCAGCCCTGTCTAGAGACCGCGAACAAGGCACGACGCGGAAGACGCTTCCAAGCCATCGTAGTTGGCGCCACGAGACAAGGGCCTCGAGGGAGTGGCTGCCTGAGTTGAATGTTGGTTACGTTGTGCAGCCACCACAGACGGTAAATGGACCGCAAGCAACGGTTCTCAAAGATAGACAGTCAGCGCAGGTCATCGGTACGAACAGGCCAATTCTCGCAACCGTACAAAAGTACAGCGCGGACGGCAGCACAATAAACCAGCCCTTTGATGGATAGATGAATGTCATGACGGCGCCATAAATGTCTCAGCCTGGAGAAGGCGAGACGAGATGCGCATCGAAATTTCATTTCCAACAGCTCCACCAGCAGTGATGTAGTTTCCCAAATAGATAAAACTCTGTACAGCTTCTAGCGTCTCATCATCGATGGTGAGTGCAGGTAGGGGCGTCTGCCAGTCTTGAAAAAGCGCTTTGCGCTTGGGTGGTGATAAGTGCACGCCATGTTTCGACGCTTCAATTGCCGGGTGTTCAAATGCAAGTTGGACGGCCAGCGGACCGTAAGCCAATAAAATAATATAATCAAGGTGATCCAAATCAACTACCCGACTACCTGGAAGGAGCTCAAGGCCAGCCTTCAACAAGCCTTCTAGTGCATTTTTGATGACATTCTCAATGGCAAAATTGAAGAGGAATGGAGAGATAGGGTATCTTTGTTGAACACCACTGGTGAAAACAAAGGAAGGTGAAAGCTTGTCATAAGCCCTAACTCTACCCGAGGTCAGACTATACAGAGAATGCAGTACGTAAACGAACTTCCCCGAAACACCATTCCTCAACAGACAGTGCCACAATACAGACCTGTCGACAGGATGGAAGGCCGCATAGGTACGCAAGAACACAACAATCGTTGGCTTCTGATACACATGGCGGAGTGTGAAAATCTGATCGATGCAGCCGGGAGCAGGGCGGAACCCAGCCTGTTCTTCTCGCTGCAGTAATTCACGCGTGGGGATATCCTGCGAAGAATGATGGACACCAGAATCTTGCAGGAGCCCGTGCAGGAGCAGCTTGACGACCCCCTGTTCTATGATAACGAAGAAGGCGGGGTGGTTAATCAATTAAATTA